ATCTGTGTTATACATGATCAGTTTTCTTTCCAGGGTCATAAGGTTTGTTTTTTGGTTCTGTTTTTTGGTGTGTGGTTTTTTAATAGAACAAGTATATTCTCCTACTTCTGTTGTAATCAAAATTACTTACCTTCATTTTATCATCTGTGTTCTTTTCTCTACCTGCACCATGTCATCAAGAAGCAGAGGTCTACTTAAAAAAAAATCAGCCTGAATTAAGGTAACTTCAGAATATGAGCCATGAGCCAGCAGTGTGCCCTGGCTGCCAAGAAGGCCAATGGCGTTCTGGGGTGCATTAGGAAGAGTGTGGCCAGCAGGTCGAGGGAGGTTCTCCTTCCCCTCTACTCTGCCATAGTGAGGCCTCATCTGGAGTACTCTGTCCAGTTCTGGGCTCTCCAGTTCAAGAAAGATGAAGAGCTACTGGAGAGAGTCCAGCAGAGGGCTGCGAGGATGGTGAGGGGACTGGAACATCTCTCCTACGAGCAGAGGCTGAGGGAGCTGGGCTTGTTCAGCCTGAAGAAGAGAAGGCTGCGAGGGGACCTAATAAATGTTTATAAATATCTGAAGGATGGGTGTCAGGAGAATGGGGCCAGACTCTTTTCAGTAGTGCCCGGTGACAGGACAAGGGGCAAAGGGCACAAACTGAAGCACAGGAAGTTCCGTCTGAACATGAGGAAGAACTTCTTCCCTCTGAGGGTGACGGAGCACTGGAACAGGCTGCCCAGGGAGGTGGTGGAGTCTCCTTCTCTGGAGATATTCAAGACCTGCCTGGACAAGGTCCTGTGCAGCCTGCTGTAGGTGACCCTGCTTCGGCAGGGGAGTTGGACTAGATGACCCACAGAGGTCCCTTCCAATCCCGAACATTCTGTGATTCTGTGATTTTGTAATATGGATTTTGAATATAAAAATGTTACAGCACTTTTAATGTAACTTCTGCTGTTCCTGCTTACACCGTGTTTAGAGAGAGTATAATGTGCTATACATATTTTAATTGAGTGAATTCTGAAACTCATTTGTTGCTTGTATTTCATTAAAAAAGAAAATTTATGCCAATAACTGACATTGTTAACATATGCTTGTGCTGTTTTGCATTTCCCCTCTTTGTTCCTTGGTTTGGTCTGTAGTGATTGTAGATTTGTTTTGTTTTATTTTCTTCTCATATTAGTGAGCCGTTTCTGTTCTTTCTGCAAAGCACCTACTGCTTGTGTATTACAATGCTACGTATTTCCACAATGTCTTTTGGGCTGTCTTCTTAGTCGTAACTGAGAATTCTATGAAATTCCACTCTTGCTTTGAGGGAGATGAAAACTAAATTTCTGGTGTTCTTCCTGCTTGCAGAGGAAGGTTTTAAAATATGACCCTGTCCACTTGAAACACTGAAGTCCACTTTTTGCCAAAGTCCTGTTATAATGTTTCATTATATTTAAGCTGCTTTCATGCTATGCTGTTGGCAATGCCAAAAGATATTTGTTAAAAAGTAAAGTTAGATTATTACTAAGTGTTGACAAGATTTAATAAACCTTTTCCAGAATTCTTACTGGTGGGATTCTACAGCAAAATAACAAAAGCTCTGTGAGCCTTCTGGGGCATCTTACATCATTCAATTGCCCTTTATAGTTAACCAGAGGAAAAAAAGGAGATTTAACCATTTTACCAGATGTCAGACTAGCTTAAAGAGCTATAGCCAGTTAGAAAATTTAGCTTTCACAGTTTGTGATAGATTCAAAGGCCACTTATTTGCAATAATGAGCTAAAATCCTTCAGTGGGTTAGATACAACAATTTAGAAAAAGAGAAAGTCCTGATTAGCAGAACTGTTCTTATTATTTTTCTGTTTTTCAGTTCAGTTGCAACTAATATTTGTGTTGACCATAAATACAATACAGAATATCTGCAACTAAGCTATAGCTAATATCAGTGTTTGACAATCAGTATTACTTAAAACTAGATGTAAAACAAACAATCTATTTCAAATTATAACCCTATTTCACATTGATATTGTTATCATGTCAACACAATTTTGTAGAAAAATAGTTTACTTCAGTTGTTACAGTAGGTCAGAGGCTGAAATCGCTGGCTCTGGTTGTTACTTATGATGAAGGTTTGTTGTTAGTAATAAATTGTCACACATGCTCATGCACACATGCACACACACTGAAAACCCCGCAACACCTTCCTGTTAGTTAAAATTTTGCTATTTCCCAGTATAAAAAATACAGACCTCTCCTGCTGCCCAGTATGAAGGACTTTCTGCTGCTTCTGAGGACATTCTAAAGTGTGTTTCAAGTTTAATCTCCTTTTCTGTCAGATTGTGGCTGAAGAATTGTACACTGTCTCCTAAGATTATTCATTACTTATTCATCCCGAAGACTGCATTTTAAGTAAACTGAAACTTTCTGTGTCTTGCTTTCATGTTGTATTATCCACCCATAATTCATACCAAAGGTGTTTTTAATTAGTAATGTGCATGTTTACTAAGGATGAGGAAGACATACCCATGGAATGATACTAAAATCACTTTTTGCTCTAAGTGATTTTTCACTTCATTGAAGGATTTCTTTTCTTTGAATTACAAGCACGAGACTAGCTGTCAGTGTTGAACTCTATTTGTTATATACTATGAAATGAAAGATTAGTCTGAACTATTTTCCCAAAAAGGGTTTTTCCTGATGTCACATGGCCCTTGGCCACAGAAGCGGACTGAGGTTTACAGATGTAGATACTTACAAAATATTTCTGCTCACAAGGACCTGATACCAAAGCTAGTTTTGCAGCTGCAATTACATGAAGCCCTTCCAGACATATGCAAAATTTTAGCATGGAATGAAGCCCAGGTCAACCCCAGTCAAAATGCTGTGATGGGTATTTGCATATCAGTGCCCTTTCTTTTCTCTGGAAAAGGTTATGTGTTCTGTGACTTTATTGAACTGAAGGAAGAGTTACTCGTAATCCAAATTGCTCTGCACGTCTTTCAACAGAAAAGATTGAAAATACGGAAAAAAGTTAATGTCAGGACACAGGGTCTCTAATCTCTTCCCTCATATACAGTGCCTAAATAAAGTATAAATCACAGGTAAAGCTCTTCCTACATTGTTCTAGATCAACATCAACATTTGATGTAATAGTTGCAGAAGAGAAGTATTCAATCAATAGACAATATTACTTGTCTTGGTAACAGTTATTCTCTGTAAAATTAAGGTAAAAACCCAATATGGATTACATTATATCTGTAAAGATTCTGCTAGAAATACTAACAGGAATGTTTATACCAAGATGTGTTTTAAACTATTTTACATTGATTAACAATTAACAGTGTAGCAGTAGTTGTAACAGTTATGTTTAAAGCTTTTAGCCACTATTTAAAAAAAATGGGTTTAATAAAAAACTTGACATTTGGTTTTGTGTAACAGAATACCTGTAAAATAAAAGATAATTCCAATCGTGGAGAATTTGCCCAGGCATTATGACTGCATTGTAGGTCTTTAATATGAAAACTCAGAAGAGTAGTATATTCACAACATTTTGAAGACTTCCAATACTTAAAATTAATTTGAGCTGAGCAAGGAGAAACTGTTTGAGGCATTAGGCTCTATGTTACACAGTTTTGCATTTGCCCATGATAACTTAACAATCGCATAACTACAACAGCCCTGTTTGTGACTGATCTTTATCTTTCTTTGAATGACTAGATTATCAGGTCTATGATTATTCAGATTTTCCAGTACAGACCTAAGAATTCACTGCCCCGGATCCAAACCAGATCTGTATGCAGGCTTAAAGAAGAGGTCATGAAGAAACCTCATTTCATTTGTGAAGAGGATGTAAGTTAAAATCTAGATGATATGTAGCAATGTATCGGAAAAAGTGTTGGCAAACTGAATTTACAGTAACCATTTTGTTATATTGCAAACACTAAAGAAGTTAATTTATTTCAATATTAAATGCATTTTAGAACACTACTTTTCCAGACCACTAAAGGTGTTAGCAAACATCAGTATATTGTCAATTGAACAGTTACAGAAGAGGACACAGGACTCCAGCTGGGATCTCACCAGAACAGAGTAGAGGGGCAGGATCACCTCCCTCAAGCTGCTGGCCATGCTGCTTTTGATGCAGCCCAAGAGACAGTTGGATTTCTGGGCTGCAAACGTGCACTGCCGGGTCATGTCGAGTTTCTCATGAACCAGCGCCCTGAAGTCCTTCTCGGCAGGGCTGCTCTCGATCCATTCTCTGCTCAGCCTGCATTTGTGCTTGGGATTGTCCTGACCCATGGGGAGCTCCTTGCACTTGGCCTTGTTGAACTTCATGGGCCTTAAGCCTGTCGAGGCCCCGGGGATGGCATCCCTACCCTCAAGTGAATCAACTGCGCCACTCACTGGAGGACAAAAGCTTCTTTTGTATTCCTTAAAAGCAAAACTCAAGTTTATCTTTGCAATACCTCTTATACTGAACAGCAGAGAGCAAGGAAAAACATATTTCTATCCATAGAGTAGTACTTTGGATGTATCTCACTGGGATTGGCACTAAACAGAAGATGGCTTATAGGAATTTGATGCCTGCTTGATGACAGTTTTTGCTAGGTCAGCCACTGGTTTGTCCTGAAACAAACCAAACCAACAAACAAACCAAAAGTATCTGTACTAAAGAAAGTATCTAGAATTTCAGAAACAATACCACTGTTACAAATTGGTATTAAAATTCAGTGAGATTAAAAATAGTAGCCTTACATCTCCTTCTGACCTTTGTCAAGGTTCCCTTTGAAAAAGAAGAATCACACCTGGAAGACAGTAAGCAAGACTAACTTGGTTAAAACATTCAGTAGCAGTCATCTGAATTGAAAAAATAAATGCATTCAAGGATTAAAACTGCGTATTTTCTCATAGGTTCCTCCCTGATGCTTGGTCTGATTGATGGGAAGACTATAATAAAGGGGAGAGCCTGTACAGCAGGCCAATGGCAATCCTTTCTCACAATAGTGTTATCATTTGATTGATAGGAGAGTGCTCAGATGATCAAAGAAGTGGAAGTGGATAAAGTGACAGTGCTGGAAAGAAAACAAATTGAAGCAATCAAGAAGCTGTGGGAAGACCCAGGAATTCAAGAATGCTACGACAGACGGAGGGAGTACCAGCTCTCAGACTCTGCTAAGTAGTAAGTGCACTGTGTAGTTGGACAAGCCAAACAATGAAGTTAATCATAGAGTCATTTAGGTTGGAAAAGACCCCTAAGATCATCAGGTCCAACCATTAACACTGCCAAGTCCGCCACTAAACCATGCCCTGAAGTGCCACATGTACACGTTTTTTGAACACCTCAGGGATGGTGACTCCACCACCTCCCTGGGCAGCCTGCTCCAGTGCTCGACAACCCTTTTGGTGAAGAAATATTTCCTAACATCCAATCTAAACCTCCCCCAGTGCAACATGAAGCTGTTTCCTCTTGCCCTATCACTTGTCACTGGGAAAAGAGACTGACAGCCACCTCAGTACAGCCTCCTTTCAGAGAAGTAGTTGTAGAGAGTGGTAAGGTCTGCCGTCAGCCTCCTCCAGACTCAACAATCCCAATTCCCTCAACCACTCTTCATGGGAGTTATTCTCTAGACCCTTCACCAGCTTCATTGCCCTTCTCTGGACACGCTCCAGCACCTCAATGCCCTTCTTGTACTAAGGGGCCCAAAACTGAACACAGTACTCAAGGTGCAGCCTCACCAGTGCTGAGTACAGGGGCACGATCACCTCCCTACTCCTGCTGGCCACACTATTCCTGATACAAGCCAGGATGTCGTTGGCCGCCTTAGCCACCTGGGCACAGTGCTGGCTTGTAATGAAGAGATAGGTTCACTCTGATTTTATTAGTTATACCTGTGTCTCTGTTGGCCTGTGGTACACAACAAATTTTAAACTGGAAACAAACTAATTTTAGAGTTTCTGAACATACTGGAACCATCATCCCTCCCAGTTCTGAGATCAACACAGCTGGTATATAACTGAATTTCCCATGGGGGAAGTAATGAAAAACAGCTGTACAAAATACATTGACAACAAGTGGGCAGGTTGGACAGTTGAGTTGCATGAAAAGTTTAGGATGTAAGGAAGAATGAAGATAAGTCCCCCAATTTTCAAATAATTTAATTGTGAAAAAAATACTGTTTCATGAGAACAGAAAATTTACATTTCTGTTTCTGCCAAGGCTGTGAAGTAACAGGGTTAAATTTCAGCAACCAGCATTTAGATTATGCATTTATGGTAAACTTTAACTCAGAATGGTTACACACAGGAAATCTCTTCCTGCATGTTGAGCATTATCATTCTTGATGGATGTTTGTCTGCCTTGTTGTTAAATAATCCTACATTAGAGAAGAAGGATGCCACTTAATGGTCTCCTGTACCCTCACTTTATAAGAAAGCAGCCACAATTGAAAATCAGTTTTATTTTCAATTTTATTAAATATTCCTTTTACTGTTAATTACAATTGAGATCTCAATACCAATTTGCTATATTGCTGGAGAGAAGGATTTTTCTTGAGACACGTTTTCTAAGTGAAAGCATTAAGTGTGAGTTTGTTTTTGGAGCCCAGATGGACGGGATATTTAGGCAGGAAGGAGCAAATACGTCGGCACCCTCCCTCTGCCACCCAAGGAAAAGGAAGGGGGGAGGGTAGTACTTAAATGAAGGAGGGTTTGTGTTACAGGCATGTTACGAGATTTGGAATATACCTCAAGCTTTTTGCAGGCCTTGTTAGGATTTTGGATGATATAATGTTGCCTTCTAGTGGTGGGAAGATAGATTGCAGAGAGGAATAGCAGGTATCGGTTCTTTGTGTCTTGCTCACAAATTGCTCATTTATTGAGGCACAGGAAAGTCATCCTAGAATTTAATCCCAGCCATGAAAAGCACAAAAGCCTTCTGAAGCTGAGGAGGGTGAAGTTAAGAATGACTGCATGGGCAGATAAGAAACTAAATGCATCATCTTTAAATTAAAAATATGTAAGTTTGAAGCATTCATGTTTGCAGTGCGTTCCGTTAATTACTTTTCTGAACTCTGTCCAGCAATTAGTGTGCAATATTAGCATCATGTATGAAGTGACAGGGGATAGAGTACTGTTGGTAAACATTATGGCTAGGACTGATATTTATGTTTGTGTTCAGATCTTAATTCTGATGTTTATTTTGGCTAATAGCAAAGGTTACTCAAAATTAATCATTTTGGGTGTGGGCTGATTGTCTGTAGAGCATTCAGGCATCATCTCTTTTGACTAGTATTATTCTGTCTGAAATGTACGTGTAGGTCTCAGTTAAAGGGTTTTATTATTTCATGCCGGCAACAATTGTGCTAAGGCCATGAATTACTGTTTAGCTGCTTTTGTGGGAACACTTCCATGGTTACTGGTTAGTGCTTTGGTTTTGAGTCTGTGTTATTAATTTATGATAGTGCATTAATGTTGTTTCTGTTGTGTATTTAACTTTTCAGTTATCTTACTGACCTTGATCGTATTGCTATGCCCTCATTTGTGCCAAGTCAGCAAGATATTCTTAGAGTCCGCGTGCCAACAACAGGAATTATCGAGTATCCTTTTGATTTAGAAAATATTATATTTAGGTAAGACTGCCTGTCAGATGATTGAGTATACAATGAAGAAAGCAATTGCTGCTACTTTATTTCTAAGGTCCTTTATGCTTTTGCATTCAATGAGTGTTGTATGTGTTTTCAGCCCTTTTAGTCTCCAGAGTTAATACAATAACTTGAGTGGTGTTCCAAAACATCCCTCCTTTTGGAATTTAGATTACATGAAAAAAGCTTTTAAATTCAAGTAGCCCTATTGTTGTGTATTCTGAACTATTAGTTTAATTAAAAGCCTTGGATGAGGGGGTGCAGAGGCAAGGTATTTGTAGTAACATGCACGCATGTATTGGAATGTAGTTTAATTCCATTTAGAGACAACAGTTTCTGCCTCCTGACTGTAACTGGAAGAGAGGTCCCTAACATGTTCTAAAGTCCTGAAGTGAGTTTACAGCTTTCAGCTAGATAAAGTTAGGGGAGTTGAAGACACTGAGGGAAGAAGGAAAAAAAAATGGAGGGTCATAATGGTAGGTACTTGTATTCTTCCTGCCATGCAATATTCAAAAGAAAAAGAAATGGTCCATGGAACTGAGAGAAACAAAGGTACTTGTAAAGTTGAAAGAAATTGTGAGAAGCATCTTAAAATTATCTGCTACTAGACAAGCTATTGCAACAGGCAGGGTTACTGATTTTGTAAAGGGAAGCATTTTTTTTAAATTTCAAAATTGCAGAATTCACACTAGCATGATTATAGATGTTCTTCCAACAAACCACTCATTTCATTATGAACAAACACCTGCCTGCAGTTACAACACAGAACCAGAATCCACTCTGATAACATGTGGTCCAACCAGCCTAACTGTGACTTTGTTGTTTGTTTGCGTTTTCCTGGAAAACTGAATGTTCTAGGGAACACTTTGACCTGGATAAAATGTGAGGGACTTACTTAACTGTCTGCAAAACCATAAGAATTCGATGTGGAACTAAGATGTTTGTGAGCATTTTGATTATTTTGAGTAGTGACATATGACTACCCTAAGGTGTTGGGGGGTGGAGGGCGAGGAGTGTGATGGAGATTTTGGAATGTGGGGGGAAACAAACTAAATATTTTCACATTTACCTTTGCTAAAACTTCTGCCAACACAGAAAAAAACCCCAGCATTCTGTTTTCTGTTGTGCTTCAAGTGGTTTATACACGTGTAGTGGACCTGGCTAGGATAAAGTTAATTTTCTTCATAGCAGCTGATAGCACATTGTGCTTTAGATTTGTAACCAAAACATTACTGATAACAGACCAGTCTTCTAGCTTTTGCTGTACAGTGTTTGCACAGCGCCAAGGCCTTCTCTGTTTCTCTGCCCCTCAGTGGATAGGCTGGGGGCTGCACAATAGGTTGGTAGGGGACACAACCAGGCAGATGACCTGCACTAGCCAAAGACATATTTCATGCCATGTCACACCATGCTTAGTGATAAAAGTGAAAAGAGGGGTATTCAGGGAGTTTGGCCATCTTTTTCTCAGGAACTGGTTGGGCAGCAGTCTGTTTATCTCTGCTAAAGCACAGAGAGGTGATGCAAGACAGCCAGCATGGCTTCACCAAGGGCAAGTCGTGCCTGACCAACCTAGTGGCTTTCTATGATGGAGTGACTGCATCAGTGGACAAGGGAAAATCAATGGATGTCATCGCTCTGGATTTCTGTAAAGCCTTTGACACAGTCCCTCACAACATTCTTCTCTCTGAATTGGAGAGATACGGATTTGACGGGTGGACTGTTTAGTGGATAAGGAATTGGTTGGATGGTGGCATCCAGAGGGTTGTGGTCAATGGCTCAATGTCCAAATGGACACTGGTGACAAGTGGTCTCCCTCAGGGGTCCGTACTGGAACCAGTGCTGTTTAATATTTTCATGAGTGACATAGACAGTGGGATTGAGCACACCCTCAGCAGGTTTGTAGATGACACCAAGCTGAGTGATGCAATTGACATACCAGAAAGATGGGACGTCATCCAAAGAGACCTGGACGAGCTGGAGAGGGGGCCTATATGAACCTCATGAGGTTCAACAAGACCAAGTGCAAGGTCCTTCACATTGATCAGGGCAATCCTTGGTATCAGTACAGGCTGGGAGATCAAGAGACTGAGAGCAGCCCTGCCGAGAAGGACTTGGGTGTGCTGGTTCATGAGAAACTCAACATGACCCAGCAGTGTGCGCTTGCAGCCCAGAATGCCAACCACATCCTGGGCTGCACAAAAAGCAGCATGGCCAGCAGGTCAAGGGAGGTGATTCTGCCCCTCTACTCCACTCTGGTGAGACCTCACATGGAGTCCTGTGTCCAGCTCTGGAGCTCTCAGCACAAGAAAGACATGGAACTGTTGGAGCAGGTCCAGAGGAGGGCTGCAAAAATGATTCGAGGGCTGGAACACCTCCTGTGAGGAGGGGCTGAGAGCGCTGCAGTTGTTCAGCCTGAAGAAGAGAAGGTTCCAGGGAGACCTTATAGTGGCCTTTTAGTATTTAAAGGGGGCCTATATGAAAGATGGAGACAGTCTTTTTAGCAAGACCTGTTGTGATAGGACAAGGAGTAATGGTTTTAAACCAAGGAAGGGCAGATTTAGACTGAATATAAGGAAGAAATATTCTACAATGAGGGTGGTGAAACACTGGAACAAGTTGCCCAGAGAGGTGGTGGAGGGCCCATCCCTGGAAACATTCAAGGTCAGGTTAGACGGGGCTCTGAGCAACCTGGTCTAGTTGAAGATGATCCCCCTGCAAGGAGTTTGGGCTAGATGACCTCTACAGGTCCCTTCCAACCCAAAGCTTTCTATGATTCTGCCCATGAGAGGTGGTGAGTGAGTGCTTTTGCATCACTTGGTTTGTTTTCTTTCTCTCTTCTTCCACTTACCCTTTACTTATTAAACAATTCTTATTTACCCTTAACCCCCAGGTTTTCTTGCTTTTACTTTTTCTTTCTTCTCTCCCGTTCGCCCATGGTGTGGGGGAGTAGTGAGCAAGAGGCTGCATTGCACTTAGCTGCCCGCTGGGTTTAACCCACAACAACCCTATGGTACAGTGAAAGTTGTAGCACTACAGCAAGTGAATCAAGTTTAAATATCAAACAGAACATACAATGTTAAGATATACACAGTTCAAACTTATCTCAGGTAGGCAATCTGTTATAAGGCCTTTGGATATACTTAAAGTATCTTATGAAAATGACTAATATGTTGACTGTCTTTCTGTTTAACAGGATGGTGGATGTAGGTGGCCAAAGGTCAGAAAGAAGGAAGTGGATCCATTGTTTTGAAAGTGTTACTTCCATCATTTTCTTAGTTGCATTAAGTGAATATGATCAAGTCTTGGCAGAATGTGACAATGAGGTAAGGAGTGGTGGTATGTAAGCTACAGAAAAAGATGTGTGCTTTTTAAGAAAGATGGCATTCACATGTCTTCATACAAGCATTTGGAGATACTAGAATTACATCAAGAAGATAATCAAGCAGTCCCGAAGTTCTGTTACATTAGCAGCCTGCCTATAACAGTGAACTCTACCTTAAAATACAAAATATTATTTAAAAATTTTTAAAATCGCTTCAGCCATGTCGAATGTTTGAGAATTTGAGTATCAGCAGTATATAAGCAAGTAAAACTACCACTGTCATGTGCGTTTAGGTTTTTTGTTTGTTTGGTTTTGAAGTCTCTGATGTTTCAGAATTGACTTATGCATTAAGGAAAATTAAAACAAAATAACTTAAAATTTACCTCTTTCCCAAGGTTAGAAAACATGATGAGGTCCCCCATCCATTCTAGAGTGCCGCCATCAGCATTAGCCAGATGTTGTAGAGAAGGATGTAAAAAAAAAAAAGTAGGCAATTAGGGAAAAGCATATTACTGGAACTGGATTACTTTTGGTAGTGGTTGCTTTATGTCCTGCAGTATGAGGATTCCTCCAAATGTCCTTCAAGAACGTTTAATACTCTGACGTCCCAAAGCTCTTACAGATCACTTTCTCAAGATCTGTTTGAATTGTGAGAAGCATACCCTACTTCTCTTGCTGGTGTCACAACATCCATTGCAGTTGAGATAGAGTTTTCAAAGTTTCCTGTTATCTTCTGATGCATGAACAACTTCGGTAACTAATTTTATTTTTCCTTTCACTATCTCGAACATTTTGTTCTGTTTCTTGTTCCTTAGACATTAGGAGATACATAACAAACTGACTGCCATCACAAGCTCCTCTCCAGGAACTCCAAACAGCAATCTCTGAATGTGGTGTTCCTTAGACCTCTCTTGAAATGGACAGACTTTATTACCAGTATAGATGACTACTGTACACTCTTGTCCCTTAGCTATGTTACAGCATGTTAATATCAGGTATTTGACCTGATACACCCTGCTCCAGCTCTCACTGTGAGGTCAGAAGAGGCTTTCATGGAGTACCAGTCCATGGCTGCTCGCTAACTCATGCAAGAATTCAAATAATTTCTGTTATTAAGGCTTACTTTGATTTCCCATTCCATCATGCCATTCATAGCGGTGATCCAAAACCCAGTGAATAAAAGGGTATAGAACATGAAGACTAATGATCAACCAGTATGTTGCAGTTATGCTTAATAAAAGTAATACTTTTTAAAAGCTTTAAAAAAAAAAACTTTATGATCCCTGGCTGATGTGATTTGTATATGCTACTATCTAGAGAGTGTAACTTCGTATTAATTTTTGTTGTTGTAGAATCGGATGGAAGAAAGCAAGGCCTTATTTAAAACTATCATTACCTATCCCTGGTTTCTGAATTCCTCAGTCATTTTGTTTTTAAATAAAAAAGATCTTCTAGAAGAGAAAATCATGTATTCCCATCTAATTAGTTACTTTCCAGAATACAGAGGTAAGCATTTATCCCACACTATCTTCCCAAAGCTAAAAGTCATATTTAAACCAGTTAGCTTTACCTCATTAAATTGAACATGGAAACTGGAATTGTACAACGTACTTGATATCTGTGCTTTTCTGCTCTGTTCTTTAAAATAGAAACTTAAGTTACTCAGTTTTAATGGAACTTTGTTTTTCAGTGGAGCATTGTGGACAGAGTTTTAAGAGATTTCTTGCAGCCATTCTGTTACCATCAGAGTGGCACGATTGCTGTTTATTTATGAGAAGAAGCACCTTTTTCAACTTCGATCTCAAGCGACAAGATACAGGGTGGGGGAGGGGCGGGATTTGGGGAATATGGCTATTAATCCAACTCTTTATATAGTAAAAACCCATAGTACAGTTTTGTGTTCATTATTGTAACTTGTTCTCTGTGTACAAGTCCAAGGCTAAAAGGCAGCCTGAATACCTTTCCTTAACAAATATTACTAATACTTAAAGTCACCAAAAGAATGATGAAAATAATCACAGACATATTCCATTACTTAATACAGTATTAATTCTGCGGGACATGTAGCCCGTTGAATCCTACAACTAATAATGAAATGAGTTACAGTGATTTAATAGCTACAGAGAGAACATACATCCCTCTTGGCTAAAGAGAATCCTGTTCATTCTGAGTGTTTTCGAAAATTTAATTTCTCTCATGGTCTTTGACATACTACAGGAATGTAGCAAACTATTACTATATGCCAAGCAATTTTGGTTGCATAGGTTTTTGTAAAAAATTACTTTGACCTGTAAGGTTTACCTGCGGAAAAAGCACACTCCACGCATTTTAGAAAGCAATGTTGCAACAGCTTTTGCTCCACTAACATGTGAATGACAAAAGGCCAACAAGGCAGTATACCTTTATGGCAATTTGACATTAAAATATGACATTAGCCTGGTGAGATACTGTCCATGTGTTTCTTCCTTGACTCATAGCTTTTAGCTGTTCAAAATCACCGATTGTGCTTTTGATTGACTAGGACCTAAACAAGACGTCAAAGCTGCCAGAGACTTCATTTTGAAGCTGTATCAGGATCAGAATCCAGACAAGGAGAAAGTAATCTATTCCCATTTTACATGTGCCACAGACACAGAAAATATTCGTTTCGTCTTCGCTGCTGTCAAGGACACGATCCTGCAATTAAACCTGAGGGAGTTCAACCTGGTTTAAAGAAAAAATATAGCTGCAGCCATAAAGTGTGGCTTACTCATAGCACAGCCTGTGTTGATTAAAAAAAAAAAGGTGTCTTTTTAAATACCATTTACAGAAATGGGAGGAGGATTTATATTTACTGAAGTATAGATTAAGAGAACTTCAAAGAATGAGTTTCAAAGTTTACTTTTTAAGCTATATATTTAAAATATTGCGTTCATATTTCCCATATTAGATTTGTCTGTGAGTTATTTTTTGACAGCTATAGGGACTAAGTATATTTAGAAGAATGTACATACCTACATTGCTGCACAGCTGGTATTAATTTTTTTTTTTAGCATTTACAATCATAGCTTATAAAATTTCAGATAGTGAGCCTTAAAAGTGACAAGCTAGTGTTTTTTTTAGGGTGCTAGACATTTTTATATTCTTGTCCTGAGCAATGTAGTTGAAAGACTAGGGTAAACCTGTTACACTTTTTAGAAGCACCTCTCCGTAGCCTTGATAGGCCAAAGTCATTAATGTTCTAGGAGTCACTACAAAAGATTTATTATTGGTGACCTTGTGTATCACTGCCTTTTTGTTCAAGTGCCTTACAATAATAAAATACCTGTCACAGTCAAGGAAAGATTAAGATCTTGTAAGCAGTCCATGGAATTTACTCTTTTTCTATCGGGGAAAAGCGTTTCTCAAACAGCAAGGCATTTAGCAAATGTTCTCAGCCTTCACTGCCACAGGAGCTCGGAGGCCATCCACAGCTGCCAGCGATAAACTAGGCCTTAAATTCATCCAAGTCACCAACTTAACCTGCTTTTTGCACTTTGCATTTTCCTGCTGTTGTGCTTCCTGGGTAGTTTTACATAGACTAGAGAACAGTAAAGCCTCTCCTCTAGATTTCTAGCCGTTTTCCCCATGTCCTCTACTCCCTGCCCAACTACAAACATCTCTGCTAAAGATGCCAGCACCGCTAATAGCTCAGTCAGTTCTCCTTCACTGGGTCAAAAAGTCTCAGGCAAAATAATAAAGACATTAGGGCAATCTTGAAAACCCTTTTTACCCATGAAAAATTCATGGTAGCCACTGCCACTTGATCAGCTAACCCAGCAACACAGGTAAGGAGAATGTTTTCATAGAACAGTCTGTTATTAGCAGTAATTCAGCCCAAGTTTGCTGCTGAGTTTGTCCTGTATTTAAATACATGAAAATTCTGTTTTTACAAGAAGAAATATTGTAGCAACAGTTTTTATTATCAGCATAAAATAGCAATTTCTGTGCAGCACAGAAAAAGTTCAAGTTTTATTGGTTTTTCAGCTTGAGTAGTGCTTCTGTGTATTCAGCCAGGTTGATAGCTCTTGCAGTTCAGCCCTGTGAAAAGCAGCCCTGACCTTTCACTGCCCATAAAATTGTTTACCGTTTCACATATTAAACAGCACAGGTCCCTTTTGTCCAGTAGCACAGAAAAAGTAAAGCATGTCCAGAGCTGGTTTTGGTTGCTAAGGAGCAAACGGCCTGTAACATTCGATTCATTTTTTCTTTTCTTTAGTGTTGGAACAAGCAGTAGCCTTAACATTTTTCTGTCAGGGAAGGACAGTGACCTGCGTGTCGTGCCCACACTAGTGAGTGGCAGTAATTGACACGGAGGGAGCAGTGCAGCACACCCCGGGATGAGGTACAGGGCACAGTGCCGCTTGCCGAACAAGACGCAGCTGTGGGAGAGTGACAGAAAGCACAGAGCAAAACAGCACGTCTGTGCCTGCGTCGTCCGTGTCCCCAGCGCGTTGTCACCGCCCTCCCTCAGAAGTACTGATGTCATGACAAGTCCCCAGACCTGCTGTCCTAGACTAACCGCTGCTGCTCAGAAAAATAAATCAAAAGCATTTCTTGAATTAAAATCTGTGGATAAAGGAGTTTGATGTTACTTAAATATAAATGGTTGGATTTGATGATCTTAGAGTTCTTTTCCACCCTATGATGCTATGATTAAGAACTTCCAGTCACATGAAAAGATGACGACAAAAGTACTTTTTCCAGAGCAGCAGATATGATGGAGGAAAGTGTACAAAGTGCCCAAATGCTTGAACTGCCTGATCCAGTTTTGAGCCCTCTTAGAGCTTCTGGAAAAACATGTTTAAACTCACAGTGGTTTTGTATCTTGAGTCAAGATTGGCTGTCTACATAAAGAGCACGTTGGCGCCATGAATTTGGGAGCCTGTCTTTGCAGGGGCACAAGCTTTGCGGATTGTCAGACAGTGACCGTTTTACAGGACCCATCAGTGTAAGAATGGTTTTCTTTCACATGTCACAACCAACATTTAAAAACATTCAGAAGGGCAGTTACCAAGACAAACTTCTGCACGTAGTTCTCATTCCTCTTGATGCAACAAGGAATGAAAGCCCACAAAGATAAAAAACTGGGACAGATCCAGCAAAAAGACAATTCACTTTTTCTCCCTTCTTGCCTGTTATGTATCCTACCTCATCATGCCTGTTCCAGCAGTCACATTTGTTTCAGCCTTTGATGTACTGACACGTAGATGATGAGCTAATAAAAATTAATGGTGTGGACGTTCTTTTACTCCTTTTAGGAGAAAACTTAAACACGAATTTACTCCTCCCTTGAAGTATTACAAGAATATTTAGAATTCTTGTTCCAGATTTGCCCTGAAAACAATCAAAACCTCTTTATAAAGATCCTGTGTCTGCTGTGAGTGGAATTTTAGATTCTTAAATCGCACTTGCAGTCACAAAAGCAAAAATTGTGACTAAGAATACTGTTGCATTTCTTCGGTCGAATAACAAAGCTCAGGCTCCTAGGTGATGCATATATGTGCTTGCATATACTGGCCAGAAAATTCCTAACTAATACACTGGTAAGAATAGTAACAGGAAAATCTTGACTGAGGAGTAGAGTTATAGGTGGGAAAAAAAGGTGTCAGCTTTCTGCTAATTTGTTCAGCTTTAGCCAGAAAAGCATAAGGCATTCAAGAAATGCATAACCAAAGTATGACAATCTGCATTTCAAGAGAAGATAATAAAACACAAATGTTTTCTCTATGAAAATGTGAAATGCCTTGTAAAATTTTGATCTGCATAATGAAGCAAGTGTTGTGATACACATGAAAAACAAATCCAAGTCAGAAACACTTTGCATCATATCTAATTACAAATACACAATGCATATTAGCAGTATTTTTCACCAACAGTTCCCACATTTAATAACCCTGTTCTTTTGACATGCACAGTCTCGACTCCCTAAAAACAATCAGAAAAAGCCCCCAAACCTTCCACAGTATAGAATTAGTTTCCATAATAATCTGCACATGGTAGTAAGACAGGCAGCTCCTTTGCCCAAGGTGGCTTTAGTAACACATTGAAGCATAGGACCTGAGACCCTTCCTTGGCAGAAGTTACAGATAAATTGGTCAACACAGGAAAAAAATCCCAACCCCTCCATAATTAACTTTTAGTAACTTCAGCCACCTATGTCCTTGGTTCCTGGGAGGCAAATGTTTCATTGGTGTTGGTTGCTTCTTTAGTTTTTGCTGCATCTTCAGTACAGATTAGTCACTGCAGAGAGAGGGGGATCAACTGGGAGAGTTTAATGCCAGAAAAAGGTACTGTGGAATTGTATAATTTGCTGAAGAAACACTGCACACTCTTGCTTTCTACAATACTTATGTGATTCTAAGCAGTGCAATCTTTAGGCAGGTCTTTTCTGGAATTCAAATGTGAAAGACTCAAGAAGGGGATGAAAAACCCCTTCTGAATAGTTTTGTGGAGTATTCTCATTCTTGAAACTAATACAGCATCAGAAAATACATACAAATCAAATATACACAAATCTATGTAAATGTCACAGAATCACAGAAGCTGGGGGGGATGCATGTTTACAGATTCCTTCTCTGTCTGGGAATCCTCTGAAAATCTTGTGAAGCCAATATATTTTGTCTTTTGTACCAAAGGATTTGGTGGAGATTTTTGCTCACTGTTTCATTATGGATTAAATTTCAAGAAAATCAAACATCCCAGATATTAGTGTGAAGAGATCCTGTGGAGTTTAATGCAGAAGACAACTAATGCACAGAGCTCAAGATGTTTGTCTCTGGAAAGATGCTTTTCCCTCAGTTTTTTCAACCAACACTACAAAAATATATTTTGTGTGTAGATAGCATGCAGTCTTGTATCAAAACTAATTAATGGGAAAAAAAAAGAAGCTATCTAAACGAATACTCAGTTCAACATGTCCGCTGTAGCAACTGGAAAACAGATTTTTATTTTATTTTTAATCTGACAGAAGCATTAACATTTACATAAGTTGGTTTCAAGAGAAGCCTCTGAATCACGTGTTTTTGGCTCATCGTTACACTTTAAGAATAGGATTGCAGAACGCAGTCTTGGACACATAAGGCCCAGCAGAGTATTTATGTCATATGATATAGAGCTATTTACAAACAAGCCACAAGACTTAGCAATCCTATTATGGTAGGTATGTGATGTATTTATTGAAACTGTTTTGCAGCAGCAGAATAATTAGGAAACTTGGGGTTTGTAGTTCAAATTCAAGAATATGCTGTAAGTATTAAATTGCAACTACTAAAACATAGTAATATTAATCTTTTATTGACTAGTGTGTGGTATTTGTTATTTGCAGATAGGTGGCTAAAAATTACTTGGAACAAAAGACTTTCCTGATTTGTTTGATATGAAAGTGTATTTTGTGAAGTGCTAAAGATAATAAATAGCTAATGGCATACATACTGAAATTTTTTTCGGGAAAAAAAGAGGATTTCATAAGAATCTGGTTGTCAACATCATCTGTGGCAACAGGAAAAGAAATACTTTAAAGGGAGCTTATATATGTAAATCCAGTTATTAAAAACTTGTCCTTACAATAAACCAAACGTAAAGACTGAAGTCTGTATTCCGCTGTCATTGAGATGGCTGCAACAGAAGCCTGACATTGTGTTCTCCAAGACAGGATTTGACCTAATTTGTCAATTTCTACCTACAAAATTCTG